TCTCGAACCCGCGGGCTCAGGCAATCCACTCACCTCAGCCTCCCAAAGTGCTGGGATTACAAGCTAAGCCACTGAGCCCGGCTCTAAGTTTTTAATTGATTATAGAGATGAGGTCTCGTCAAGTTGCCCAGGCTGGTCTTGAACCCCTGGACTCAGGCAATCCTCTCTCCTCTGCCTTCCAACATGCCAGGATTACAGGTGCAAGCTACCACGCCCAACCCAAATTTTAACATCTGGAGAAAATGATCTACCTTTCCTTACACCTAGTGCCTACAGAATTGTGGTGAGGTCGAAATCAGATCATTCACGTAAAGCACTCCACACCCTGCCTGATGTGTCCTAAGTGCTTAGAAGTGGGGGCTCTGACTTTGCTGGCATCTGTCCCTGGGATGTCCATTTTGGACATGGGACAGCTTGCTGCTGGATGGGGCATGGGTGCTGAACTGGGGAGAGCCAGGCCAACTGCCCACTTACTGTGTCCCCTTGCAGGAGCTGGAAGATCTTCAGAAGGCACCACCCCAGTATCTGCGGAATCTGTATAGCGATGATGCCAATGTCCTGGTGTGGTACGCTCTCCTCCTGCCGGTGAGTCTCCCTGGGGACTGTGGCTTTGGGTTGGTGACCACTTAGGCCAGGGCCATGGGCAGGGAGGGTTAGGATTAGGCAAGGATTTTCCCTTTTTCTGGAGGTTAACATTGCTGGAGGGACTCGCTCTCTTGATTGATTGCTTTTGAGGTCCAGGCAGATTGATGTAGATGCTAGAAGACTTTTGGACATAGTTGAAGACCCTTTCCTCAAACCAGCAGCCACCAAGCCTGCCACAGAAGCTGCAGCAGATAAACAGCATTCAAAAAGAAGAAGAGGCCTGGCCCAGTGGCTCATTCCTGTAATCCCAGCACTTTGGGAGGCCAAAGAGAGAGGATTGCTTGAGTCCAGGAGTTCAAGACCAGGCTGGGCCACATAATAAGACCTTGTCTCTGCAAAAAAAAAAAAATCAGAAAATTATCTGGATGTGGTGGTACATGCCTGTAGTCCCAGCTACTTGGGAGGCTGAGGTGGGAGGACTGCTTGAGCCCAGGAGTTTGAGGCTGTGGTGAGCTGTGTCATGTCACTGCACTCCAGTCTGGGTGAGAGTGAGACCCCAAACTCCAAAACAAGAAAGAGGAGGAGGACAAGGAGGAGAAGGAAGAAGGAGAAGAAATCATAAAGATTTCTCAGACCCTTTGTCAAGGGGTAGTGATAAACTTCCAGGTCTCCACAATTGGTAGAATTTACTCCCCTAAAGTCGACCCAAAATGTATTTTTTTAAAGACCTTATTTCTGAAACTTACTGTTCAAAATGACAATGCAGATAGCTGTTTTTGACTGCTCTCATTTTCCTCTATTTATTATTTGATATCATCTTGATGAAACCTCCTTTTGAAAGCAGTATTCCAAAGAACCTATCCGAGGGTAAGATCTCTCTTTTGTTACCTGATTATTAGTGACTAGAGATATTTTCTTTGAGACATTCATCTATATACCTTTGATTACTTGAAAATAAAAATTAAGATGAGAGAGCTCTTTGTTAGTTAAAGCTTTTTGGAATATCAAGGGAGCAAGTCATCTTATTATACAGGATTTGTACTTCTTTTTTTTCTCTCTCTCTTTTTTTTTGTGAGTCTGAGTTTCATTCTGTAGCCCAGGCTAGAGTGTAGGTGGGATGCTCACGGCCACCGCAGCCTCGACCTGCTGGGCTCCGGCGATCCCTCCATCTCAGCCTTCCAAGTAGCTGGAACTACAGGCGCGCGCTACCACGCCCAACTAATTTTTGATTTATTGTAGAGACAAGGTCTCGCCAAGTTGCCTGGGTGGGTCTCGAACCCACGGGCTCAGGCAACTCACTCGCCTCGGCCTCCCAAAGTGCTGGGATTACAGGCTGAGCCACCGAGCCTGGCGTATTTACTATTTTTTTTAGTTAGAGTCTCACTCTGTCACCCAGGCTGGAGTGCAGTGGGACGCTCACAGCCACTGCAGCCTCAACCTGCTGGACTCAGATCATTCACGTAAAGCACTCCACCTCAGCCTTCCAAGTAGCTGGAGCTACAGGCATGAGCCACCACGCCTGGCTAATTTTTTAAAAAATTTATTATACAGATGAGATCTTGCCAGTTTGCCCAGGCAGGTCTAGAACCCATGGGCTCAGGCGGTCCTCTCACCTCTGCCTCCCAAAGTGCTGGGATTACAAGTGTGAGCCAGTGCGCTTGGCATGGACTTCTTACTGATAGTGTGGTGGCCTGGGTGGCCAGTGTCTCTTTCAACTGAACTGTGGTCCGGAAAAGTAGAGAAAGACTTGAGTCGTGTCAACATTGGAACCTCTGTCAGGTCCCTTGGGCTGCTATGTTGAGACAATCCACTTACCTGGCTCGGCATGAGAATACCTGTTTTGAGCCTCCAGTGCCAGGGAAGAAGACACTAGAAGGAGCTCTAGGGACCAAGGACATCTCCAAGGAGACCAGCTTTGAGATGATGAGAGTGACTGGAAGGGAAGAGCAGGTCAGAAGCAAGAAGGCAGGTGACAGGAAAACTTAGGACAGGTCGCATTTGAGAGAATACAGTGACATCAGACAACCTCAAGGGTTGGCAGGATTGAAGTGGGCAGATGTGCCCAGGAACTGACCAGAAACCTTCTAGCCATACAGGGGTCCTGAAAGGGCCTACTGGGGAGAATCCCAGGGCAGGATAGCTTGGTGCAGAATAGCCAGCATAGAGTGCAGTGGCACGCTCATGGCTATCGCAACTTCAACCTGTTGGGCTTAGGTAATGTTCTCCTATACTGGCTAGTAGTTCTCAACAAGAGGATATTCTGTCCTTCTCGTCTGGGATTCTCGAAAAGCCTTTAAAGCTGGGATGGTCTTTACAAGCTCATCTAGTCTACCTTTTTTTTGAGTCGGTGTCTCACTCTGTTGCCCAGATCAGAGTGCAGTGGCACACTCACGGCTTATCACAGCCTCACCCTCCTAAGCTCAGGCAATCCTTCTGCTTCAACCTCCCAAGTAGCTGGGACTACAGGTGCCACAGGGCTGGCTAATTTTTTGATATTTTGGAGAAATGAGGTCTCTCTCTTTTTTTTTTTTGAGTTGGAGTCTCGCTCTGTCGCCCAGGCTGGAGTACAGTGGCATGCTCATAGTTGCCGCAGCCTCGACTTGCTGGGCTCAGGTGATCCTTGCACCTCAGCCTTCCAAGTAGCTGGAACCATAGGCATGTGCCACCACACCCAGCTAATTTTTTGATTTATTGTAGAGATGAGGTCTCGCCAAGTTGCCCAGGCTGTTCTCAAACCCCTGGGCTCAGGCAATCCTCTCGTCTTCACCTCCCAAAGCATTGGGATTACAGGCGTGAACCACAGCTCCCGGCCGCAGACTAGTCTTGAACTCATGGGCTCAAGCAATCCTCTCACCTTGGCGTCCCAGAATGCTGGGATTATAGGCGTGATCCACCATTCCCGGCCATCTAGTCGGTCTTTACCCATTTTTCAAACATTGCAACTGAGGTCTAGAGGTAGGAGGTAGTTCCCCATGATCTCACAGCAAAAGCCAGGATAGGACCTTTCTGTCTCCCAGGTCAGTGCCCTTTTGTGATTCTACCCTTCCACGAATTCATGGCTCAGTTGCCAAATGAATGCAGGTGTCCTGTGTGTCCCGGCTCCCGACTCTTTCTGGGAGTGGAGCAGAGGCTGCCTGGGAGGGAACCCTAGGAGGGTAGCCAGGGGCAAGCAGAACCAGCCAGAGTGTGACCCTACCTCTCTGCATAGGACCAACCTCCCTACCACCTCAAGGCCTTCAACTTTTGCATCAGCTTCCCCGAGGAGTATCCATTCAGGCCCCCCAAGGTCAAGTTTACCACCAAGATCTACCACCCCAACGTGGATGAGAATGGACACGTTTGCCTGCCCATCATCAGCAATGAGAACTGGAAGCCTTGCACCAAGACCTGCCAAGGTGGGTCCGGATCTTGCCTGGAGGAGGGACTGATGCTGGGTTGGGCCTGGCTGGATGGAGGGTGAGTGGCCTTCTTTTGAGTTTAAAAAGCACAACAGAGAGGAGATACACATTGAGAGTCTTAGCTGAACTTACCGTTGGATACCAAAGATGCTCCCTGAGATCCTGGACAGATTGACCCCACTCCTGTCTCTGTTCCTACACCTGGACAGGTGCGACAGATGACCATGGCTGTGATTCGTGGGAAAGAGAGGCAGCTTGGCTGCACAGGGAAGGGCCTGGGATAAGAAGGCCATCTGTGGGCCGAGTAGGGTGGCTCACACCTGTGATCCCAGCACTTTGGGAGGCCGAGCCAAGATGATTGCTTGAGCCCAGGAGTTCCTGGGAAACATGGCCAGACCTCATCTCTACAAAAATCAAAAACATCTGGGTGTGGTGGCGCACAACTGTAGTCCCAGCTACTTGGGAAGCTGAGGTGGAGGAATCTCCTGAGCCCAGGAGGTTGAAGCCGTGGTGAACCATGATCATGCCATTGCACTCCAGCATGGGCAACAGAGTGAGCCCCTGACTCAGAAAAAAGAAGTGCGTTTGCAGACTTTGGGCAAGTCTTTGTTCCTTGCTGGGACTCCGTGTCCTAAGTGACGGTGGAGAGGGTTGGCCTAATAATGATAATACCCATCACTTCATTGTGCTAAGAGTGTCACATGCCAACTTCATTTATTTTTTTTTTGAGTTGGAGTCTTACTCCTTCGCCCAGGCTGGAGTGCAGTGGCACACATGCTCACAGCCGCCCCAGTGTCGATCTTCTGGGCTCCAGCGATCCTTCTACCTCAATGTTCTGAGTAGCCAGAACTACAGATGCACACTACCATGCCTGGCTATTTTTTTATTTTATTGTAGAGACGAGGTCTCGCCAAGTTACCCGGGCTGGTCTCGAACCCGCAGGCTCAGGAAATCCACTCGCCTCGGCCTCCCAAAGTGCTGGGATTACTGATTGAGCCACTGAGCCCACCTGCCAACTTCATTTTTATCCCTTCAGCACTCCACGAGGTAGTGCTCTCATTAGCCCCGTTTAAGAGATGGGAATACTGAGGCATGTGAGAGATGAAGCGGTTGTCTGAGGTAAGCACAGCTGCCAAGTGGCAGAGCTTGGCTGACTCAGTAGCCACAGGTGGCCAGTGAGCCTGAAAAACTGAATTCTTAATTGTTTTTATTTATTTATTTGCATCAGAGTCTCACTCTGTCGCCCAGGCTGGAGTGCAGTGGTACGCTCATGGCCACTGCAGCCTCAACCTGTTGGGCTCCAGCGATCCTTCCGCCTCAGCCTTTCAAGTAGGTGGAACTACAGGCACGCGCTACCATGCTGGCTTATTTTTTGATGTATTGTGGAGATGAGGTCTTGCCAAGTTGCCCAGGCTGGTCTCAAACCCCTGAGCCTGGGCAGTCCTCTCACTTTGGCCTCCCAAAGTGCTGGGATTATAAGTTTGAGCCACCGCACCCGACCAATTGTTTTTATTTTTATTTTAAGTCAGGATCTTACTCTGTTGCCCAGGCTGGAATGCAGTGGTGTGATCACAGTTCACTGCAGCCTTGACCTCCTGAGCTCAGGTGTTCCTTCCTCCTCAGCCTCCTGAGTAGCTGGGATTGCAAGCACACGCTAGCGTGCCAGGCTTTTTTTTTTTTTTTTTTTGAGTTGGAGTCTCACTCTGTCGCCCAGACTGGAGTGCAGTGGCTGCTCCCGGCCACTGCAGCCTCGACCTGCTGGGCTCCGGCGATCCTTCCACCTCAGCCTTCCAAGTAGCTGGAATTACAGGCATGCGCTACCATGCCCGGCTGATTTTTTGATTTATTGTAGAGATGAGGTCTCGCTGCCCAGGTGGGTCTCGAACCCGCGGGCTCAGGCGATCCACTCACTTCAGCCTCCCAAAGGCGCGGGATTACAGGCTGAGCCACCGAGCCCAACTTGGGCTAACTTTTTTTTAGCATTATTTTTTGTAGAGATGAGGTCTTGCCATGTTACCCAGGCTGGTCTTGAACTCACAGATTCAAGTGATCCTTATGCCTTGGCCTCCCAAAGTGCTGGGATTACAGGCATGAGACACTGTGTCTGGCCTAGATTTTTTTTTTTTTTTTATGGGTATTGCATTAAGTCTGTAGATTGCCTTAGGTAGATTGTTTTTAATTTTAATTAATTTAGATTTAGATGACTGCATGTGGGCTAGTGGTTACATGCCTGTAATCCCAGCTGTAGAGCCTGTAAGCTTAATCACTGAACTGTCCTGTATCTGGACAGCAGTTCTTAATCCAGGAAACAAGAGTCCTTGGGGCGGTAGGGGCAAGGGGTAGGGGAATGGTCCTTGGATGAGCTTCAGAGGGTCTGTGAAGCACTCTGTGTCAGAATTGTGTGTTTGATGGGGCCTAGTGGCTCATGCCTCCGATCCCAGCACTTTGGGAGACTGAGGCGGAAGGATTGCCAGGGCCAGGTCAAGGCTGCAGTGAGCCATGATCGTGCCACTGCACTCTAGCCTGGCAACATAGTAAGACCCTGACTTGAAAAAAAGAAAAGAGCCAGGCTCGGTGGCTCAGCCTGTAATCCCGTGCCTTGGGAGGCTGAGGTGAGTGGATGCCTGAGCCCGTGGGTTCGAGACCCACCTGGGCAACTTGGTGAGACCTCATCTCTACAATAAATTAAAAAATCAGCCGGGCATGGTAGCGCGTGCCTGTAATTCCGGCTACTCGGAAGGCTGAGGCGGAAGGATTGCCGGAGCCCAGCAGGCGAGGCTGCAGTGGCCGTGAGCATGCCACTGCACTCCAGTCTGGGCAACAGAGTGAGACTCCAACTCAGAAAACCACTGATATAACCAGTCAAGAATTTGGTGGTAGAGACATCCTAAGTGATAGAATCTTTGGTGGGGGGCAGGAATGGGTGTGGCGTATTGGGAAATCTGGGAATGGATGGCCCTCACCTTCTGGGGTTTTTTTCTGTCTGCCCTGATGTCCTGGTCTGGCATCTCTCCCCAGTCTTGGAGGCCCTCAATGTGCTGGTGAATAAACCAAATCTGAGGGAGCCCCTGCGGGTGGAGCTGGCTGACCTGATGGAACAGGATCCAGAGCTGTTCAGGAAGAAAGCAGAGGAGTTCACCTGCCAATTTGGAGTGGACCGGCCCTGCTAACTCTGGTTTGACCCCTCTCTGCACTGGACCCTCTGCATGGCAGATGGACACACCTCATGGACTCGGGCCAGAGCCCCTCACTGGCCCATTTCCTGCTTATGTTTTCCTTCCCAGGTTTTCAGTTATGAGTCTTTTCTGTGGTGTGTGTGTACTCACTCTGAGTTCTCCTGGCCACAGGTGCCCCCTTCTCACTCCCTTTGCCTTCCCCAGAGCCAGGGGAGTTTAGGTTTTGCAGAATGTCAGGCCAGTCCTCCAGCTCTGCATCTAGAGAAACAGTTCACCTTCCAGGCCAGTTTGTAAGAACAGAGCCCGGCAGCCCCCAGAACCCTGCTGGGACCCAGGCACTGAGGCTGGGGGGACTGGGAATATGGGTGAGAGACCCGTGGAGGGTACCATACTTACCAATGAATGATTGATATCAGCCAGACCACTGATGAGCATGTAAGATTTAGGTGCTAAGCCTTTTATTTTCCACTGATAATCTAACCTCTATCCTGGAAATCTAATGCATGTTTCAAAATCAGTTGCTGTCCCATGGGTTTGCCAGTCCCTGGGGGCCAGGCCTCAGGCTGTGAGGTGTGTACCCTCCTGCATCCAGTCCAGGGGTGATCACAGAAACCAATCCTGTGCTTGCTTGGCCATTAAAGTCACAGGTGAATTCTGGAGTTCAGCCGAGTGTTTAATGAGGGGTGGGGTGGTTTCATCAGAGCGAGTGAGGCCGGGGATTCAGCTACCATCTCTAAAAGGAGTGGTCCTCTAGAAGTCCAATGCGCTGGCTCAGCCTGTAATTCTGTGCCTTTGGGAGGCCAAGGTGAGTGAATTGCCTGAGCCTGCGGGTTCGAGACCCACATGGACAACTTGGTGAGACCTCATCTCTACAATAAATCAAAAAATTAGCCGGGCGTGGTAG